CTGCTGTGTCTTCTTGAGCAACAACAGGTAAGTATGTCAACAACAATCACAAACAGTTTGTCAGCAACCTTCGTCAGTCTGCTGTGTCTTCTTGATGTCAATGCGATGACGCACTCCTTCTGACAGCTGGCACTACAGCTGTATAAGCTGTCCAGTCAGCTGTACCGCCGTCGTCTTTAGAGTGTGTCTCTTACTTGGCAGTATCCTGCCTGCACGTGTCACCCCTGGAGTGCCAACATAGCAATGTTGCCACGTCAGCGGTCTGTCCAGTCTGTCAATAATGGGATGCCACGTCAGCAAATGTGTAGTCCGATCCTCACCACGTGCCTCTTCCAAGCGTCACGTGAGATACCGTCGCCGTTCCAGCCAGTCAGATCATGCCACGTCAGCAGGCAGACACCACCTCATGAGACAGGTGTGATGACCTGCTCCTGCCACGTCAGCAATTAATCTTTTCCTCCAGGCCACGTCAGCATCTGCAGTAGAGCCTGTCGTGTCAGCAGCACAAGGAGTGCCACATCAGCAATCAACAGGGTCCTCACACGCAGCACTATATGTGCCACGTCAGCATGGGATCGCGATGCCACGTCACTATCGCGATCCTGGCTGGCGTGCGGTATCCCTTATCTCGATCCCTACTGCCACGTCAGCAGCCTGGTAGGGATGTCTTCTCGCCAGCAGAGCCTGTACCTCGTCAGCAATCCCCGACAATGTCTTCTCGCCAAAGAGGTATGTGCCACGTCAAGATTGCAGCGTATCCCTTGCCATGTCATCACCTACTTAACCTTACTTACCTGCGCACCACCTGGCGCATACACACATACTAATGTCGTCGTCAGGAGATTAGTTCCGATACCAAATTGTAATGAACCCAGATCGTGAGAGAGTTGTCAACAATGCAGCCCAGATAATTGTCCATCGGCTGATGATTATTAAAAGTCCAAATCGAAACCAGACAGAATGAGGTGAGATATCATACACAGTCGAAGAGAGAGGAGGGAGAAGAGACAAAGGAGAGGAAGAATAATGCCCACTCCTGCTTCGGGCTCCTTCCTCTACGGCCACCTCGACAATCAATAGTCTGAACGAGTATCCGAGTATCCTCAATGTGCCATGTGGCACGTCTAATCAGTTCCACATCAGCATCTGGAGCAATGTCGACATGAAGACCATCAGGTACGTATCCTCGAACTCTCCACAGTCCTGATCTCCTCCTGTTACATGCTGCACCTGCACACGAGGGCCATTTTCCAGGCCCTGCATCCCTCAGGCTAAAAGCCTGAAATTCAGGCTTAAAGCCTGAAAACCAGGGCCTACAGGCCCCGTGACTGTTCAGCCCGAAAGCCTGAAAACAGGGGCCTACAATCCCTGTGTCGTTTCAGAGTAAAAATGGCAACAGCCTTTTTAGCCTGAAACGAAGGGCCATTTTCGGTCGTTCATCAGAACGACCGGCCCTGAAACTCAGGCACCGAACCAGGGTTTCGGGAACAGGCTATTCTTAGCCTGTTCCCCACGCC